TTTTACTTTGAGTATTAGAGCTCGTGTTTGTTTCTTACACATGATTACATTTTGAGCATTCAAATTACAGATGGAATAAAAGGTGCATGTTCAGGAAGATTAATATTCAAACCCATAAACGATCTCAGAAGTTGAATTTTCCAGCTCCACATTATTTTGAGTAGGAAAATGGGATTTTCACCCGGCTCATAATCATTTAGACTTAGTCCATCAGTTACTTCATTTTTCACTGAAACTAGTTTTCTGGGATTGGTTAGACTTTGATTAGAAATGTTACGCACGTGCGTCTGGCAGGCTTTGGAAAGTACCCTATTATAAGTAATGAGCAGGTCCTGAAAAAGGTCAAAAAGGAATCCTTTCTCTAGTTGGGTGCCATTAATTAGGATTTGGGACGATAGTGACAGGAAAACAACTTATCTTGAAGCACTGCCTACACTCTGGCTCTGTCAGAAAGTTCCAGAATTTCTAGGCACAATATGATCACCATGACCCAGACACACAGACCTCAGCGCAGAAACAGAATGAGTGCGGAGGTCACGTCATGCTCTGTCCTCTGATGGACACTGGGGTGGGTCGGTGTTGAGTCCTGTGGGGAAGGCGAGCGGAATGACTGATGTGTGCAGCCCGCCACCTGCTGGCCAAGCCGTGGCCCCTGCACTCACCGAGTGACCCCAGGCAAAGCACACACAGTCCCCATGTCTTTGTCCCTGAGACTGCAGCTGTTAACTGGTTGACCAGACTCGCTGTCAGTTCACAAAATCACGGAGCTGGGATTGAAGTTGTTTTTCCTTCCTGGTTCAGAATAAAAGAAATTCAAAGGCTCTGTCAAAATGTAGAAGTTTTAAAATATGCTAGCACTGATTGTGAAATAATAAAATAATCCCATTTGCAGCAACAAGGATGGACCTAGAGATTGTCATTCTAAGTGAAGTAAGCCAGAAGAAGAAAAGCTGATGTAATTCTTGATGTATTTGTGGGAGAGGGCAAGCGGTGAGTCTCTTTACTCTGCCATCTTGGTACCTCCCCTGAGGTGAAACTTTTGAATTCCCAATTTATCCCTTCTCATCCCCTCTACCCACTGGTAACCATAAGTTTGTTACCAAACAGCCTTTGTCAGTTTTAGTTTTTGTAGATGTTCATGTCTCTCCTTTTTTTTTTTGAAGATTCCATATCTACAAACCCAAGAATCGCACAGCACACCTATTGAACTTTGGCAGAGTGTCTCACTTCAAAATACAGGAGGATTCTCACAAAATCCAGTAAGAGAAAAACAGAAAAAGAAAGAAAGAAGAAAAAAAAAATCAGAGCAGAACCAGTCTTGTGGGGAGGCAGCGGCAAAGGAAGAAAGGCAGCCTCATGCTGAGACACTCCCTCTCCAGCCAGGAGGTAAGCGGGGACAGAAGCAGAGCTTTTGAGGCCCGGAGGAGAAAAGGCAGTTGCTTGGCAGACAGAACTAAGAGAAAATGGCACAGAGGGTACCTGCGGTCCCAGCCCTAGATGCGAGCCAGCAAGGACAAGCCGGGACTGGCTACTGGAGATTGGTGACAAGCCCAGGAAGAGGGCTGGGGCCCACTGAGCAGAGGCAGCCTCAGGGGACTGGAGGGTGGTGTAAGCTGTGGCTGAGGGTGTGTGTAGAACAGAAAAGCCCGGGACCCCATAAAAAAGC